TAATTTAGTTAAACCCAAAAATCAAATACGTTAAATACCACTTTCATGCGTTTTATCACTAACTGCCTCCGGATAGTAAATACTGATGTACATTCAAAAATCAAGATATAGTACATTTTAGCGGGGCCAAATACAAAGCACCCATGGAAAATACCGCTAGGTTAAATATCGATTTCTGCACCAATTCATCACCAAATTTGAATCTGAGACGTAGAATTTCTTCACCACACTATTGAGATAACGTTATGCCTATTCTTTGTCTCAATTTGCTGAAATTTTGAGTAATGAATATGAAATAGAAGTCAGAAAATTTTGTGAAAAGTTGGTAGTTTATAGATGACGTGCACCATATCTATGCCCATGATAAAATTAGTACTGCTGTGTAGTACTTCGACGTACGTATTTATCCTAACGTTAGTATTGTGCTTTTCACAGTCAAATTTGCCTATTTTGGTGGATTGATGAAATCGCCAACTAATCGAGCAAATGAGAATGATTGGATACAAAGATTGAAGGTTGCCATATGATTGGCTAAAAAGATTGATTGTCGTATTGCAGTGACAAAGACACCTCTTCAACTTAGTTTTATATGAAATTTCGAAGGTCCTGCATTTCTTCCAGAGTGTTTTGATATCACACATGACATGTGAGTCGATCGAAGATAGGCATTTGAAGGTTGTGTTGTGAATTGCAAAACATAGATATGGTGGGATATTTCACAGAAATAACGTTATCATTCCCGAGTTCAACGTAGAAGACGTCCCATACGCTCCAAAACGACTTAAACTATCGTGCACCGTTGTCCTCGTCGTAGTGCTTGAAGGGTGGGCAAATCCAAAGCAAACCCATCCAAGTATTTCGCAGCATCTTGGCATGGGATTGTACATGCTTCATGGTGAGAATATTCCTTTTCGTTCACAAGTCGTGTCATCGGTGGGATTGTGGTGATGAAAGTGTGTGTAAGAGATTAAACGTCCGCAACCTCCCTTTAACGCAATCATTCCTGGGCTTAAACGCACGTTTAAGTCAGTTGATTGACAAGGAAGGAACGGACACGATGGGGCGCAATTTACTGAAGGCCACTGACGTCGGTCATATTGCCATTTTCGAATCCTTCCCATGGCTCCCAGACGCAGCTCTATTCCGACATCTGGGGCTGAGCCTGCAACCACCCCATCGCCACAACCACCTTCAACTGCCGCGTCCCTAACGCCCGCGTTCTCATGGAGCGAAGTGGTGTGGGTGAATGTGGTGGTGATGACGGTGTGGCACGTCGGTGCCGCTTATGGCGCCATCTGCGTCATGCCACAAGCATCGTTGTCGGCGAATCTCGTGCTGTGGGTGAGTTTTTGGTTCTGGGCAGCCCTGGGGGTGACAGCAGGGTCGCACCGGCTGTGGTCGCATCGGTCATACAAGGCCAAGCTACCCCTACAGATCTTCCTCATGCTATTGAGCAGCATGGCGTACCAGAACAGCATCTTCGAATGGTCTCGGGACCACCGCGTGCACCACAAAGGCTCAGACACAACCGCGGACCCGCACAACTCGAACCGCGGCTTCTTCTTTGCGCACATGGGGTGGCTGCTTACACGAAAGCACCCGGATGTGTTTACAGAGAGCCGCAAGATCAACAACCGCGACTTGGAAACTGACCCAATCGTGCAGTTTCAAAAACGGCATTACCAAGTCATCGGTCTTGGCATGTGCTACGGATTTCCAACGATCGTCGGGTACGTCTGCTTTGGCTCGGCATGGCAGGGCTTTTGGATTGGTGGCGTGTTTCGCCACGTGTGGCTACTCCATATGACGTGGTGTGTGAACAGCGTCGCACATTTCTTTGGGTACAAACCGTACGATCGCAACATTCGTGCCGTCGAGAACCTCTTCGTGTCCATCGGCGCCGTCGGCGAAGGCTGGCACAACTACCACCACCGGTACCCCACCGACTATGCCACGAGCGAGTTTGGGTTCCTGTACCAGTGGAACCCGACCAAGCTGTTTATTGAAATCATGGCAGCCGTCGGGTTGGCCTACGACTTGAAGCGCAGCACCACCGCCGCCGCGACCCGCGAACGACTGGCGATTGCGATCGATCAACAAGTCGTCAAGGGAATTCTGGCGCCGCCTACGACCCCACTGCAACAAGCACTCACGTGGGCCGTACACACGGCCAAATCGACCCTGTTTGCGACTTAGTGTTGAGAAGAACGAGTATGTAGCGTTAAGCGAATACTAGTAATGGATTGACTGTGAATCCCCTAACGTTATTTTGACAATGTGAGTACTGTACTGTACGATACTGTACTTACATTTCTACAGTGCTGTACCACACCGAATACTAACTGTAAAAATATTATGACAAATAACCGCTCACACTAGCTGACCGGATTGAGGCTGTTCAAATGGTACAGTATTTTAACTGTAAATGAACGTAGGTAATCCATCAATATCGCGAACGCTTTTTGTGCACTAAAATGTCAAATGTTTGAAGCACTCCACCACAAAAAGCCCCTCGAATAAAAAAAAACTAAAGGTAGCGTTGGAAAATATAAATCCAGCTGCATTTTTTAGTGCCAAGAAATGCCTGAAATATCCCAATAATCGATTTGTATTTTGAAATTATAACGTAACGTTAAGAATTGGTGAAACTTCGAACGGTCGTACAGTAATATCTTAGTTTTGTATGTATGGAATATTAATATACAAAATAATATACCTGGGTGTCGTGACGCGTTTTAATTTATACATGAACTCAATTCTTCATTAAATTTGAACGCATTATAATAAGATACAAGTTGGAATCTGTATAGGACAGCATAAAAATGAACATAGTTTTGAACTTCAAGGTGGTGTCCTGATCCTTTGGCTGAATATAATCATATCCAATGAAAACCCCTCATTACAGAATGAAGCCATTGGATTGGATATAATGACAACCGTTCGCGATATTGATGGCGTTCGCGATATTGATGGATTACCTTAACGTTAAACGAAATCCACACAGTACTCCGGAGTATTAGTACTATTTATTACTAGTACTACGTAGTACTACTATTAATACTTCGAAATAGTGTTTATTACCATATATAATATGTTAATAAAAACTATTTCGAAGTATTAATAGTATAATACTTCGAACAACAGAACTGTATGTAGTAATACTATTGTACTTTTTACCTTTTTTGGCTAAGCTTAATCCAGGTTTAAAACCATGCTTTAATAAAAACTCATCCTTAAATTACGACACTCGCCATGATTTGGTGGAGGTGCACGGTCTTATCTTATTCACCTTGTTTTACAATGATCAGCATCGACATGCGTTGGAGATGTGTTGTGCTTGTCCAAGTTTATGGCATTAAAGTTGACGTCGTTCGCCTCATACTTGGATTCTCACGACGTAGTGTAACAAGATTCAACACGATGTTTACATCTACGGGCAATGTGACTAAGTTGACGAAGCGCTCGACGGAGTCACGCTGGCCTGCTGAGGTCAAAACCTGGGTGAACGAGTACGCCACCGTCCATCCATGCTTCTACATCGAGGAACTTGAAGACGCACTGCGACACCAGTTTCCTACGCTCAAGAATATATCTGCGGCAACGATATGTAGAGCACTCATGCATGACTTAGGTTTGACGCGAAAAGGTATTAAAGATTTGGATATATTTTCACTGGATGACTGCCAAATATCTCGCAAAACAAATTTTCTTCCGGTTGAATCTGAGATATTTTTGAAATAGAACCACGCTCGCATTTTGTGAAGACGAAAAAATCGTCTTCGCAAACATTGCATTTGCGAGCAATACCTCTCGCATCGACACTGTAAAATTCGATATGATCGAAATACATTTTCAAAGGCTTTGGCATCGTGCACAAATTTTCTCGCAATCTCACCGGGTAACGAAGGCAGGTCGAGCCAAGTCGTGGAGTGCCTCGATTGCCACCCATCGACGTCGGTTAAAAAAATACACGTTATCCGGACTCGCAAATTTGTTTGCGAGAGGCACTTGCGAGATATTTGGCAGTCACCCACTATTCATTCGTGTGTAATTAGTCTTAGAACGACGAACACGAGAGTCTGGTGATTTTGAGCTGCGCGATTACTATCGGCGATTAAGCCCTTACTACTCGTACCCCGACCAGCTTGTTTTTGTCGACGAGACTTCCAAAGACGGACGTGATTCGATTCGTAAGTACGCTTGGTCGAAGCGCAACAAAAAGGCGTTTGTAGAATTACCATTCTCTCGCGGCCAGCGAGCGTCAGTCAGCACTAGCTGCATTAACAACGTCCGGATTTTTAGCGTGGGATTATGTGGACGGTATTTATTATTGTCAATTTATTGTTAATTAATATTTATTGAAATTGATTAGGAACATTTGATCGTGCCGTGTTTCACGACGTCATGGTCAAAAAGATTCTTCCGTATTTGAATCCTTGGCCTCTGCCGCGTTCAATTTTGATTTTGGACAACGCAAAGATCCACATGTACAAGGAGCTGCAAGATGCAGTTCACAGCCGTGGTGCACTGCTGTTTTTTTTGCCGCCATATTCTCCGCAGCTGAATCCTATTGAGGTGGGATTTAGTCTGCTAAAGCGCTGGATTGACAAGTATCCCATGGCATTTCGCTTCAATGTCCGTGCTGTATTAGATGGGGCGTTTGTAGAGTCCACAAAAAAAAATGAGCAGATACGATACAATTTGTTTCGCCATTGCGGTTATGATACTACAGCGTTAGACCAAGAAACAGTTTTAATGTAAATTCGTTTGAAACCATTGGAATTTTTTATGCAACTTGTTTGACATTACTACAAATTAATGTGATCAATGTCCTCAATATTCACGCTTGGTCCGACTACTTCCCCCACTATTGGTTCCCGAAAGGATGGCGTCAGGTCGAATGGAGGAATTCCTAGGGTGCTGCGGAGATCTTCAACGGACAGAAAACAATCCACTGGGGCGCTGGCCATCGTGCCAAACCGAACACGAACCCTACGGTACGTTTCCGTGGTCTGGGCTTTTGTTTCGCGGTGGCGTTCGTCGGCATGACGCGAAGCCATAAGGTCAATATGACCGAGTTGCCGCATTGTGGCATTTGCGGGAATTTCAACGGGGGCAATATTGCTGTCTCGACGGTTGCATAGTCGGTTTGGAGAGGGCCAAGGAGAAGGCTCTGGTCTTCAATGTATCCCGCAACGCGGGTCGCCGCAGTCACAAGGTTGTTAGAAGTTGCTCGTCTACTCGCGGTGCTGGTATCCTTTTCTATTTCGTAATTCACACTAATTTAATAATCGGGACACAATTTTGACATATTCATATATTTCGATATTTTTACCGACGTAAATGTACAGCAGCAATGTGAACGATGCTTGGGCATTGCGGACCTTGCTTATGTTGTCCCAAGCTTGCCGTACCACATCGTTGTGGTTTAGCAGTGTAAGTTTGACGTACTTGTTTTGCGTTGTGTTGGCCGCAACCTTTACATAAACTTCCTTTGGACCTTTCGGGTCCCACAGAAAGCCTTGTGTTCGACGCGTCAGCGAGGTAGTCAGCGGTAGTAGTCGATACGGTGTTGACGACCAGGGCAGAAACAACACCAAACGTAGTGTCGCTGCACTAGTATAGGCTTAAGGTGTCCAAATTCAAGTTTAACACACGTTAAACTATAAAACCTTGTCCTCCGAGCTTGAGTTTATAGATGGAGCACGGAAATCCTCTTTCAAGTTAACTCAGTTGAGCGAAAACCTCGCCGCGACATATGATTGGCTTAGCGATTCCACAGAACAAATGGTAACTTGAAGTTAAAAGCACGCCTGTTGTCAATTCTCGTGAGTTCATTTCTCAATATCGGACGTCGATGGCAAGCAACCGACGCATCTGGGTTACTCTGGTTGATGGCAAAGGTGTCCAGCTGATGTCGCCAGGCAAAGTGAACGTCTCCCCCGACAGCGACGTCGACGATGTCACAGACACTGTGAAGGCCATGTACAGCGGCGGCGCCTTGGAGAGAATCGCTCCAACTGACCTTTCTGTCTACGCCGACCAGGCCGCGTTTGCCCGCAATGATGTTCCTCTTGCTGCTGATACAATGGTTGAAGGTTATGACGAACATTTGGCAAATCCCATCTTGGTGGTTGCTCCGTTCACATCAAACAAGCGCCAACGCGACGAGGACGTCGAAACACACGAAGCTATGGAAAGCCCTGTATCAGTGTTCAGCAACAAGGCTTGGCGAGAGTTCGTCTCAACTGTGAAGCTAAAGTTCTCTGGTAAGCATCCCTTGATTTTTTGCATTTCTAGCCAAACATGATAGACTCCAATTTCTTTAATGCGCATTGCACCGCTCCCATCAATCCAGTCGACAGTATCGAGGACCTTGCAATCGCTGAATCCTTTGAGGACTGTATCACCACGTTCACGAATCCGATTACGAAGGTCCAGGTGGGGTGCTTGCCGCACTGTTTGCGACGATCCACTCTGATTTTGAACCACAATGTTTACATCCGGCCGTTCACTGTCGCGATGCTCAAAGCAATGACCGCATGCAAGCAACCCCGCATTGCTGTGGTTGGTAAGGCTGGCATTGGCAAGTCGTACATGCAGCTTGTGATCCTCTTGTGGTGGGCGCGTCCAGAGCTACGTCCAGTGGCCGAAAACGTCGACAATGGGGCCGCTTTGGACAAGTTTTTGGATGACATTGAAGCAATCGCTCGCGTTGAGCGGGAATCTTGGACGGATTTGTATTTTCACCACGAACAACTTCATTACGGCGTCGAGACGTTGCCTCTATCTTCGTTACGTCGATTGGATTCCACGTCGACCTTGCTCCTCTACGAGCCGTGTGTTTCGAAGGATGCGATCCAGCTCAGGGCATCACGAGAGGTCACGTGTGGGCTACAGAGTCGCCATTGAAGGACCAGTACAAGTAGTTTACCAAATACAGCGCCTCCGTGAAGTACATGGAATGCCCATACGAAGCAGATTAGTGTTAATGGCTGCGGTGATGGAGAAATGCTTACGGTCCGATTTAAAGCCACTGTACAAGGAGTCACTTGTCCGTGAACGAATCCCAACGCATAACCTCTTTCTGTGGGCTGTGTTGCCTGATAGCGCGAGTTTTTTAAGACTGAGGATAAAGTGAGACGGAGTGAATTGTCTGAGATGACCTTGGAGAAACTCCAAAAAACATGGTTCATCACCGAGAAGAGAATTGTTGGTATGATGGAAATCAGGGATCGTATCCTCCACATTTCACCCGAGTTGGACGGCGTGTTTGAGTCGTATACCCTGAAGCCGGCGAACGATCTTGTGAATGAACGTTTGGGCAATTTGATGTTCGACGTCGACGTGCGGGAACTCAAGAGACAACTCATCGCGTACGTTGAGGCATTGGGACTTTCAACAGCATAAAGAAGAACATTGGTATTCCGGATGGAGTCAAGCTGGTAATCAAGTACATCACTTGCCCTTCCAGGCCGACCGATATGCGAATGGACCGACCCCGAAG